TTACACTCGGCTTCCCACTTTGACGGTATAAACACAAAGTAGCAAGTTTAGTCCACAATACCACTCCTCCACCAACCGTTAATTGTTTTCCTAAGTACTTGATATCCTGTTGGGAATATAGCATTTGTTTTTCATTGAATTTCGTCTCTATTAGAGCTGTGATGTTTGGTGTATCTCCTGCTACTCGTTCTTTTTACTAAATTGTTTTTTTTTGATATTCCATGTTGGGTATACCATACCTCGACCTCCATGGTGTTTACTAGGGAGGAGTGAGGCAGATGTGGGTGGGGGTTATGAGATACTTTTTGTACTGAATTCGGGCGCTTGTAGCGGAGCTTCCCAGCACTTCCATTATTTTCTAACCCCTCTCTGTCCTCTCTCAATCCTCCCCCACCAAAAAGAAATGTCAGGCTCACTTCTTCCCCAACACCCACATACCCCCAACACCCACATACCCCCAACACCCCACATACCCCCAACACCCACATACCCCCAACACCCACATACCCCCAACACCCACATACCCCCAACACCCACATACCCCCAACACCCACATACCCCCAACATCCACATACCCCCAACATCCACATACCCCCAACACCCACATACCCCCAACACCCACATACCCCAACACCCACATACCCCCAACACCCACGTACTATTCTTGTCATTGACTCGTGACCCAAAAGATAGGAGGGGGGTTAGTTTCGGATCGTTCAGTCTGTTTTTTGAGATCGATTCAATTCAATTCAATTCAAAGTTTATTCTCTATAAAGATTACAATGTTGAATTTACAGAATTTGGTTGTTGTGTGGTTTACATGTAGTTAAATAATGATTACAGAGTGTACCACTAGAACGCCTAGCATGGCTAGGCATTTCGGGCAGACTTAGTTTAATTCTTTATTTTAAAATATTACAAATTATGAGGTAAGTTGGTATTATGGCTAAGTGACTAAATACTAGTCTGTGAGTTTAGCAATGTGAATGCTTTTGTTTTGGCACAGTACATAGTTTCAGCATTGGAGTATCATAGGATTCATTATTTAAGATTGAGATTAATATTTCTGTTTATGGTCAAATGGGTGAGTGTAAGTGTGAACCACCAGGTGGTATTCGTGTAGTTAGTTGATGGGGTGTATCAGGGAGATAAGATGTTTTCTAATGGTAGTTTTGAAGGTGATGAATGTGTCTGCAGTTCTAGTTCTCAGGTAGGGTGTTCCAGATTTTAGGGCCTTTGACATACATTGAATTTTTGTAAAGGTTTAGTCGGACACGGGGAATGTCGTAAAGATGTTTGTGTCTGGTGCTATGCCTGTGGGTTCTGTCACAACTATCAAGAAAGCGTTTTAGGTGAAGGTTGATATTGGAGTTTAAGGTCCTGTAGATGTAGATTGCACAGTAGTAAGTGTGGATGTACTGAACAGGGAGTAAATTTAGATCTATGAAGAGTGGGGGGGGGTGTTGCCAGGGATGGGATTTAGTGATTATTCTTACTGCAGCTTTTAGTTGGGTTATTATTGGCTTTAGGTGTGTGGCTGCAGTTGATCCCCAAGCACAAATAGCATAGGTGAGGTATGGATAAATAAGTGAGTGGTAGTGTGAGAAGGGCATTTTGCGGCACTTAGTATCGTATCTTGGAGAGGATCCCAACTGTTTTGGATACTTTTTTGGTTATGTGTTGGATATGGGTGCTGAAATTCAGGTTGTTGTCAAGGTATAGGCCTAGGAATTTGCCCTCATTATGTCTGGTAATTAGAGTGTTGTCGATCTTAATGTTAATTTGTGCATCTCCTGCTCTGCTACCAAACATAATATAGTAGGTTTTGTCAGTGTTAAGCGTAAGTTTATTGGCTGTCATCCAAGTCGATATTTTGATCAGCTCCTCGTTAACAATGGTGTTGAGGGTGGCAAGATTAGGGTGAGAGATGACATAAGTCGTGTCGTCAGCAAAGAGAATGGGTTTCAGGTGTTGGGATACGTTTGGAAGATCATTGATGTATATAAGGAAGAGCGATTGCACCTGTTGTGGGGTAGTGGGAAAAACTGGGTATAGTCGGAGAAAAAACAGAGCGGGAGGGGGTAGAGAAGTGGGATGCAAGCGAGGAGAGAATAGAGGTATGGAGAAAAATAGATGTGATGGGATGTATGAGTGGTGAGGTAGAGATGGAGGTACTGTGGTATTGGGGAGTAGAAGGAGAGATACTGGAGAGGGGGGAAAGAGGAATACTGGGGAGAGGAGAGGTAATGGGGAGAGGGGAAATATCCTAAGAGAGGAAAGGTGCTGGGGTGCTGAATGTGCTGGGGAGGTGAAGGTGCTCGGGAAGGAGTATTGCTGCTCTAGTCTTAGTTCTATAATCTTGAGGTTAATGATGAGCTTGGGGAGAGTGATCACAAATCACTCAGTTTTAACATATCATGGAATTCCCCTAATAATGGCAATCAAGTCTCCGTCCCTGACTTTCGCTTGGCTGATTTCATAGGACTGAAAAATTACTTAGGTGGGCTGAACTGGAATGACCTGACTAAGGGTCAGGTAGGTGGTGATGGTTGCCGATATGATGCTTTCCAGGGCATAGTTCTAGCTGCTCAGTCAAATTATGTTCCAAATAGGGAAATCAGATCAAACAAAAATGATCCTAAATGGATGAACAATAGATTAAAATATCTGATTGGTCAAAAGAGAGGCATATATAGGCAAATCAAAAGAGGAGAGGGGCAATTAAGAAATCGATATATTCAGTTAAAGAGAGAAAAAAAAAGGGAATTAGAAAAGCAAAAAGAGATTATGAGGTTAAAGTTGCAAGAGAATCGAAGACTAACCCAAAAGGATTCTTTCAGGTATACAGAAGTAAGATCAGGGACAAGATAGGCCCACTCAAAAGTTCCTCGGGTCAGCTCACTGACAGTGATAAGGAAATGTGTAGAATTTTTAACACATACTTCCTCTCAGTTTTTACACAGGAGGATACCAGCGATATTCCAGTAATGATAAATTATGTAGAACAGGACGATAATAAACTGTGCACTATTAGGGTCACAAGTGACATGGTCCTTAGGCAAATAGATAAATTAAAACCTAACAAATCCCCAGGCCCTGATGAACTGTATGCAAGGGTTCTAAAGGAATGTAAAGAGGAGCTTAGCACACCTTTGGCTAATCTTTTCAACATATCACTACAAACTGGCATGGTGCCAGATAAGTGGAAAATGGCAAATGTGATACCTATTTTCAAACAGGTGACAGGTCCTTAGCTTCGAACTATAGACCAATAAGCCTAACCTCCATAGTGGGAAAATTTATGGAATCAATAATTTCCGAGGCAGTTCGTAGCCACCTTGAAAAGCATAAATTAATCAACGAATCTCAGCATGGTTTTACAAAGGGGCGTTCCTGCCTTACGAATTTATTAACTTTTTTCACTAAGGTATTTGAGGAGGTAGATCATGGTAATGAATATGATATTGTGTATATGGACTTCAGTAAGGCTTTTGACAGGGTCCCACATCAGAGACTATTGAGGAAAATTAAAGCACATGGAATAGGAGGAGAACTTTTTTCCTGGATAGAGGCATGGTTGACAAATAGGCAGCAGAAAGTTTGCATAAATGGGGAGAAATCAGAGTGGGGAAGTGTCACGAGCGGTGTTCCACAGGGGTCAGTGTTGGGCCCCCTGCTGTTCACAATCTACATAAACGACATAGATGAGGGCATAAAGAGCGACATCGGCAAGTTTGCCGATGACACCAAAATAGGCCGTCGAATTCATTCTGACGAGGACATTCGAGCACTCCAGGAAGATTTGAATAGACTGATGCAGTGGTCGGAGAAGTGGCAGATGCAGTTTAATATAGACAAATGCAAAGTTTCTAAATGTTGGACAGGACAATAACCATGCCACATATAAACTAAATAATGTAGATCTTAATATTACGGATTGCGAAAAAGATTTAGGAGTTCTGGTTAGCAGTAATCTGAAACCAAGACAACAGTGCATAAGTGTTCGCAATAAAGCTAATAGAATCCTTGGCTTCATATCAAGAAGCATAAATAATAGGAGTCCTCAGGTTGTTCTTCAACTCTATACATCCTTGGTTAGGCCTCATTTAGATTATGCTGCACAGTTTTGGTCACCGTATTACAGAATGGATATAAATTCTCTGGAAAATGTACAAAGGAGGATGACAAAGATGATCCCATGTATCAGAAACCTTCCCTATGAGGATAGACTAAGGGCCCTGAAACTGCACTCTTAGAAAGACGTAGAATTAGGGGGATATGATTGAGGTGTATAAGTGGAAGACAGGAATAAAAAAAGGGGGATGTAAATAGTGTGCTGAAAATATCTAGCCTAGACAGGACTCGCAGCAATGGTTTTAAGTTGGAAAAATTCAGTTTCGGGAAGGAATAGGAAAGTATGGTTTGGTAATAGAGTTGGGGATGAGTGGAACAAACTCCCAAGTACCGTTATAGAGGCCAGAACGTTTGTGTACTTTAAAAATGGGTTGGATAAATACATGAGTAGATGTGGGTGGGTGTGAGTTAGACCTGATAGCTTGTGCTAACAGGTCGGTTGCCGTGTTCCTCCCTTAAGTCAATGTGACCTGACCTGTCTAGGTTGGGTGCATTGGCTTAAGCCGGTAGGAGACTTGGACCTGCCTCGCATGGGCCAGTAGGCCTTCTGCAGTGTTCCTTCGTTCTTATGTCTTATGTTCTTCTTATGTTCTCTCTCTCTCTCTCTCTCTCTCTCTCTCTCTCTACCCCTACCCTCCCATTTCTCCCGTTTCTCTTCTTTCCTTATTCGCCCTACATCATAATACTGATGTAGGGTTCTTGATACAAGATATAGGAGCTACTCTCCCCATCCTTGGATCACACATCATTACTTCCCATTCTCCAGGAGGTGGATCTCTTATGGGTTTAGCATTTCCCTGTTAGGTAATTACTAGGATGGAAAAGTATTAAGAGGAATTTCGTGAATTTGGAGGAAAAAGAAAATGAAAAAGCAAATATTTTATTAATATATAAATATAATAAAGCCAAGAGAAAGACAGGTGTTGATTGTGTTGATGGTTGAGAGTAGAAAGCATCAACTTGACATGTGCATGACCTTGATGGGAGAGGTTACCTCTTGATAATTAGTTGCTGACCCAGTAGTAGTAGTAGTAGTAATCAACAACATGCACACTTCTGAGGAAGGCACGCTGAAGTGCTCCTTCCAGATGCGAGAGACCCACCCTGCAGAAGGTTGACCAGTCTTGTTAGTATCCTCCGAGGCTGACAGACCGCATCTAGAACTCGCAAAGAAACACAGGTTACCAGGTGGTCGCACAAAACTATAAAATTCGCTGAAGGCAAAAAACTAAGGTTACTTTCTTTTTAACGTTAAAGAAAGTCAGTACTGGTAACCAATAACTGTAAAATTAAAACAGATCACGGACACTATAAACCACAGAGTGCAAGAGAGCACAACCCAAACCGTATAGTGGTGATTCACTATTAGATTTGAAGGTTTTGTCTTTCCTAACACCAGGTCAAACACCAGGTCAAAGTAATCCTATCATGAAGCTATACCTTAACCCGTACGAGGAGGGTCAAGGAGGCACCCGCAGCTATGTATCTACCCCATAGATGGATGGCGCTATGTATTATCCCAAGAATGGCTGCCAGGTGGATTACAAACTGCTGGTAATGTAAATTTTTTTGAAAAGCTTGAGGCAGAAAAAGGAATTACCTGCTTTGATGTTGTCCCTGTTGTTGTTCCTGCTGCTACTCTTACTCCTCCTCTTCCTCCTTTAGTACGAAACTCACATTACTGGGGATTCTACTTCAACTGTTTTAAAATATTACTTAGATAATTAACTCTGCACTCAATGTTTATTTCAACACCACAGAACACTCACTTTCCTAAATGTTCAGGGGGGGGGGAGGGGCTGTTGAGTCGGAGGGGCTGTTGTTTCGATGGGAGAGGAAGAGCCGGGGAGGTAGTGAAGTTATTCATATTATGAACACCCATAATGTGCTGCTACACTGTATGATAGTTACGTAGTGGGAACACCAGCAGTGTGCTGCTACACTGTATGATAGTTACGTAGTGGGAACACCAGCAGTGTGCTACTACACCGTTTGATAGTTACGTAGTGGGAACACCAGTGTGCTGATACACTGTGATAGTTACATAGTGGGAACACCAGCAGTGTGTTGCTACACTGTGTGATAGGTAGTTGGAACACCAGCAGTGTGCTGCTGCACTGTGTGATAGTTATATAATGGGAACACCAGCAGTGTGCTGCTACACTGTGATAGTTACATAGTGGGAACACCAAAAGTGTGCTGCTACACTGTGATAGTTACATAGTGGGAACACCAGAAGTGTGCTGCTACACTGTGATAGTTACATAGTGGGAACACCAAAAGTGTGCTGCTACACTGTGATAGTTACATAGTGGGAACACCAACAGTGTGCTGCTACACTGTGATAGTTACATAGTGGGAACACCAACAGTGTGCTGCTACACTGTGATAGTTACATAGTGGGAACACCAACAGTGTGCTGCTACACTGTGATAGTTACATAGTGGGAACACCAACAGTGTGCTGCTACACTGTGATAGTTACATAGTGGGAACACCAACAGTGTGCTGCTACACTGTGATAGTTACATAGTGGAACACCAGCAGTGTGCTGCTACACTGTGATAGTTACATAGTGGGAACACCAGAAATGTGCTGCTACACTGTGATAGTTACATAGTGGGAACACCAGAAATGTGCTGCTACACTGTGATAGTTACATAGTGGGAACACCAAAAGTGTGCTGCTACACTGTGATAGTTACATAGTGGGAACACCAGCAGTGTGCTGCTACACTGTGATAGTTACATAGTGGGAACACCAGAAATGTGCTGCTACACTGTGATAGTTACATAGTGGGAACACCAAAAGTGTGCTGCTACACTGTGATAGTTACATAGTGGGAACACCAGCAGTGTGCTGCTACACTGTGATAGTTACATAGTGGGAACACCAGAAATGTGCTGCTACACTACTCTGTATACTTTTTGGGAACAATAATAGTTCATTTTTATCAATACAATTTTGAGTTAGTACTAGTCATTATCTTCCATCATAATATATTTTCTCTATGCTTAATTTTCCCCTCTTTCTACATAATTCTTTTCTTGTTTTGTCTTCTTCCTTCATATTTCCCCCCTCCATTCTTCCTCTCTTTCCTGCTTATTTCATTCAATCCTTGTTTCTCTCTGTTTCTGCACTGATTCACCATCCAGGTGTATAAGACGGTATATTTTAGCATTGTTTTTCCTGTCTGAGAGGAAGGGAGAGGAAGGAAAAGGAAGGGAGAGGGAGGAAAAGGAAGTGAGAGGGAGAGAAAGAAAGGGAAAAAATATACTGATGCATTACCTTATGTAAATACTTGGGATTTTAGAAAAATTCTTCATGGATGGTGTAAAGGGAAGAATTTGAAATGGGGGGGATGGATGAGAAATGGCAATGGTAGAATGAAAGGGGAGGTAGGATGAGTGAAAGATACATGAGGGGGGAAGAAAGATGAAAAGAAGGGGGGAGGGGATTAGAAAAGGACGGATGGGAATAGATTTTATTTTACACATAAATTTTACAGGCAAAGAGATGCCGTCCTACCTCGGCTTATTTCAAAGCTCAACTCTCTCTCTCTCTCTCTCTCTCTCTCTCTCTCAGGATGCCACCCATAACAGTCGACTAACACCTTAGGTGAACAGGGGTAGTAGGTGAAAGGAAACATGCCCAGCGCTTTCATCCATGCTGGGAATCGAACCCTGGACCCTAAGTATGTGAGCTAAATTATCTGCCAACCCAGACACAAGATGGGGGAGGGGGGGGGATAGATGGAAATTGGAAGGGGGGTGGGAAGGAGGAGGGATGTAGTGTAGGTAACAGAATATATTGGTTTACTGTTGACGTTTCACTAGTGTTATTTGTTCAGAGAATGTAGAATGTATTGTAACTTGCGTGCGTGTGTGTGTGTGTGTCTGTGTGTGTGCGCGCGCGTGTGTGTTGTATGTTGGTGTATGTTCGTGTTGTATGTTGGTGTTGTATGTTGTTATTGTATGTTGCTGCATGTTGTATGTAGTTGTATGTTGGTGTTGCATGTTGGTGTTTTATGTTGGTGTTGTATGTTGGTGTTGTATATTGGTGTTGTATATTGGTGTTGTATATTGGTGTTGTATATTGGTGTTGTATGTTGCTGCATGTTGTATGTAGTTGTATGTTGGTGTTGCATGTTGGTGTTGTATATTGATGTATGTTGGTGCTGCATGTTGTATGTGCTGCGTGATGTATGTTGGTGCTACATGTTGTATGTTGGTGCTACATGTTGTATGTGTTGCGTGATGTATGTTGGTGCTGCATGTTGTATGTTGGTGCTACATGTTGTATGTTGGTGCTGCATGTTGTATGTGTTGCGTGATGTATGTTGGTGCTGCATGTTGTATGTTGGTGCTACATGTTGTATGTTGGTGCTGCATGTTGTATGTTGGTGCTGCATGTTGTATGTTTGTGTTGCGTGATGTATGTTGGTGCTACATGTTGTATGTTGGTGCTGCATGTTGTATGTTGGTGCTGCATGTTGTATGTTGGTGCTGCATGTTGTATGTTGGTGCTGCATGTTGTATGTTGGTGCTGCATGTTGTATGTTGGTGCTGCATGTTGTATGTTTGTGTTGCGTGATGTATGTTGGTGCTACATGTTGTATGTTGGTGCTGCATGTTGTATGTGTTGCGTGATGTATGTTGGTGCTGCATGTTGTATGTTGGTGCTGCATGTTGTATGTTGGTGCTGCATGTTGTATGTTTGTGTTGCGGTGATGTAGTGTTGGTGCTGCTATGTTTGTATGTTGGTGCTGCATGTTGTATGTTGGTGCTAGCATGTTGTATGTTGGTGCTGCATGTTGTATGTTGGTGCTGCATGTTGTATGTTGGTGCTGCATGTTGTATGTTGGTGCTGCATGTTGTATGTTGGTGCTGCATGTTGTATGTTGGTGCTGCATGTTGTATGTTGGTGCTGCATGTTGTATGTTGGTGCTGCATGTTGTATGTTGGTGCTACATGTTGTATGTTGGTGCTACATGTTGTATGTTGGTGCTACATGTTGTATGTTGGTGCTGCATGTTGTATGTTGGTGCTGCATGTTGTATGTTGGTGCTGCATGTTGTATGTTGGTGCTGCATGTTGTATGTTGGTGCTACATGTTGTATGTTGGTGCTGCATGTTGTATGTTGGTGCTGCATGTTGTATGTTGGTGCTGCATGTTGTATGTTGGTGCTGCATGTTGTATGTTGGTGCTACATGTTGTATGTTGGTGCTACATGTTGTATGTTGGTGCTACATGTTGTATGTTGGTGCTACATGTTGTATGTTGGTGCTGCATGTTGTATGTTGGTGCTGCATGTTGTATGTTGGTGCTACATGTTGTATGTTGGTGCTGCATGTTGTATGTTGGTGCTACATGTTGTATGTTGGTGCTACATGTTGTATGTTGGTGCTGCATGTTGTATGTTGGTGCTACATGTTGTATGTTGGTGCTACATGTTGTATGTTGGTGCTGCATGTTGTATGTTGGTGCTGCATGTTGTATGTTGGTGCTACATGTTGTATGTTGGTGCTGCATGTTGTATGTTGGTGCTGCTGCATGTTGTATGTTGGTGCTGCATGTTGTATGTTGGTGCTGCATGTTGTATGTTGGTGCTGCATGTTGTATGTTGGTGCTACATGTTGTATGTTGGTGCTACATGTTGTATGTTGGTGCTGCATGTTGCGAGTTTAGGTTGGTGTTACATGTTGTATGTTGGTGTTGCAGACGGATGGACGTTGATGAGGGAGACCTGGGATCGTCGACGGTGGGAGTTCGACACAGTGCTGGTGCGTCTACACGCTGAGTATGGTGTGTCACCGTTCTTCAAGGTCACCGTAGTGCCCAACCCACGCAGCCACGGGCAAAACATCATCAAGGTCAGTCTCTGTGTGTCACTATATACTTCACCGCACGAACGTCATATTACCGTGACTACAACTGTTCACAACTAACCCACTGTACCGTGACTCCAACAATCCACGACTCCCACAGTAATCAGAAAGTAGTTTGATAATGGTCCATCATGGACCGAAACGTAGTCTGCTTTGATCTCCAGTTAGCGAGTATAGTTTAATACAGTAGTTTAGTGAATACAGCGGTGCGGTGTGGGTGTACGCGCGTTTGTGCGAATGCCTGGAGTTACGCAGCTGAATACCACCCACAGATGTAAATACCTCCTTCAGGTCGTAACTTTTCCGACGGATCCTAGCATTAAGCATGTTTTACATTATTCTACAATATATGCTTCTGGTGGTGGTCTGGCTAGACTTAGGGCTGGGGATAAGCTCTTCCTACTTAGGGACGAATCATGGGAATTCACGGACATCGAAGTTCTGCTGCTGTAACTTTGTCAGTGCCGTCTATTTAACGTTCCCTGCTGCTGCAGCTTACGTTAGCTCCGTCTGCTACGTTCTCTGCTGTTACTGTGGTTTATGTTCCCTGCTGCTACTGCTGTAATTCGCCTCAGCGTCGACTCATCCAGTCCTAATAACTGTAAGAATGGTATATATAACACATTCACTGCTTTTCAAACTCTTCAGAAACCAGAAACAGAGCTGATCGATCCGACCTTCCACCGAAAGTCGATAATCCTCATGGAAAAAAAAAAGCCAGTGTGGCGAAGATTTCACAGTGCATTCCTCGTCTGGTGGAATGCTTTCTCGCTTTCCAATGGAATGTTTCCTTTTCCCTTCCATCCCGGTCTACCACCACCTATGAGGAGAGGTCGGTAGGATGTGAGGAGAGGTCGGTAGGATGTGAGGAGAGGTCGGTAGGATACTGAGACGTAACAGTAGTCTCTAGGATAATAACTGAGAGGCCAGGAAATCAGTGAAGTAAAGAGGATATTACGAGAAGGCTTGATGACCTTCCTCCCCCACCCTTCTCTAACACCACCCCTTCCAACCCCCCACCCAACCTAACATCTCCCCCCTTTCTCCCATCCCTACCCTCTTGAGCAGGATATTTGCGGTCATGTTGCCCAACTGCCTGTGCTTCTAGGCAGGATATTAATAGCCAGGAGGCTGTGATTTCATCCTCTATCCCGTCCACCCTCACCCTTGAATTGAGGATGGTTTGGGAGCGGAGAGAAGTGCAGGATATTGGCGACCACAGGAAGTCACCCTCACACTAACTTTGCAAAAAAACTTCTACAACAGCAACAATGGTGTAATACAAAATACGTTCAAAAGGAATAATTGGAAAATTGGGTAGATAGATATTTAACATCCTAACAAGTACTACTCAGTGAGGAAGAGTAAACAGTGAAATCTGGGGCAGCTACAGTGAAAAGCTCTGCTCAAGGCTCATTACTCCCCAGTTTTGCTTCTCATTTTTATAACCGACATAGACAGACGTATATATAATTCTACTTCACATTATGTATTGGTAAATTATCATCATGGGAAGCGTTAAACCCGTAGGGATTATACAGCACCTGTCGAGGAGGGGGGGATCAATTCAGGGAACTGGAGCACAGATCCAGTTTCTTAGATCAAGAGCCCCTCACCAACATCAAGGAACTTCCCTTGAGGGGTTGTATTGATAAAGCCACCGGGAAGGCGAAACGTCTGCAAAGAGAGACCCAGATGTTGCACATGTTTAATTCTTCATGGACAGACTTAAATCACAGCACCGAATCATCCTTCACTGATGATACTTGAATCTGTATGATAAGTCAGTATGAGAGTGGCGTACGTTGAGGACACAACCAACCTTCACACAAATATGGACCAAGTCTACCAGTGAAGGTGAAAATTAGACACATGTGCAACATCTGGGTATCATTATTGTAGACGTTTCGCCATCCAGTGATTTTATCAATACAAATTCAAGGACATAATTGGAAGACAGTAGAACTATGTACAAAAGATGAGGTAATCAGTCCCTCAGCCTTGGAGTTGGTGTGAAGAGCACCAATGGGCCACTAACAACAATGTAATGTTCAACGAGAACACGTTTCACTTCTGAATAATTCAAGATAAATTTTAATTATTTCAGTAGAGCGGAAATTCAGAATGAGAGACATGGGAGTGACAATGTCAG